AAAAAAAAAAAAAAAAAAGAAAGAAAAGAAAACAATAGAACCATGTGCATTTTCAGCCTGTGAAAGTTCATCCAGCTTAGGATATGTCATTTTTCAGTATATTTCAATAGAATGTTTAAAAACAAACCCAAAAAGGCAATGTTGTGGAACTACTGAAGATTTTTCCAGCCAAGCAAGGACATGATCACTGCTGTATTTGGGGAAAATTCACCTGCTTAGGTATTTACAAAAACAGATGTCTAATAAAGACCTTATACAATTTCTTACCTGGCTATCATATCTGCAGCGTAAAACCTGAGCTTTCTGGGTGCCTCAAAAATAAATCAGATTCCTACTCTTTCCATATTTCAGATCCAAAACTTAAGGTGTTAAGAGTTTGGTACCGGCCGGGGCGCCGTGGCTCACGCCTGTAATCTCAACACTTTGGGAGGCCAAGACGGGCGGATCACGAGGTCAAGAGATCAAGACAATCCTGGCCAACATGGTGAAACCCCATCTCTACTAAAAAAATACAAAAATTAGCTGGGCATGGTGGCGTGCACCTGTAGTCCCAGCTACTCATAGGAGAACTGCTTGAACCCGGGAGGCTTGCAGTGAGCCGAGATTGCATCACTGCACTCCAGCCTGGAGCCTGGTGACAGAGCAAGACTCTGTCTCAAAAAAAAAAAAAAAAAAAAAGAGTTTGGTACACTGCATTTGCCAGTATAGGCTGAAGAAGTGTGGCTGAATGGCCGTAAGTCTTTAGGATCCAAAAAACCCAAGTGAGGAGTTTGCTTCCCACAAAGAATGCTTCAGAGCGTCTTTTGGCTTGGGACGAATAGAGAGCGGAGCTCTGCAGAACAGACAAGGACAGGCATGGTGCTCAGGACCCTGCTCTCGCTTCTCCCTTCCTCTTTTCTCACAGGAAGGACCGTGTGAGGTGGCCAGCAGAGACAGAGGCTGACTCTGGTTCATCCTGGTACCAATCAAAGAAAACGACGCCAAACAAACAAAAGTAAACCCTAAAACTTCAAGCACTAAATGCTCAAGCTCCATCCAGGAAAAGGGGTCAGGAGGATTTCAAGTAGAGCAGCTTTAGGGACAGCAGAAAGAAAAGCCTGGTGGTGTAGCTGGCCTTGACAGGAGCATGGTAAGAAAGGAAAGGAAGTATCTAGTTGTCCCCGCAGCAGCCAGTCCCAGACACACAGGCTGCTCCTAGAAGCTGTTCCTAGTCAAAGGGAGAGGCAAGGCCATCCCTGAGAGGAGACTGAAACAACTCCTTCATTCACCTCCCCCAGGTGTTCTAATCCTCTTGTCTGTGAGCAATGCAAATGTTGACTTCGTTCCAGCTTTCACCTTCTATCCCCAATCTCTCTGTTGGAATTGCTTGTAACCTGGAGTGCAAGGTCCCCAGGATAGGAACGATTATCATCTTAATTCCCTTTAGAAGAAAAGATGCAAAAGGTGATGGCCTGATCCTCAGGTCTGATATTGACTGGGATTCCTAAACTATCTTTTGCCCAAGCCACATCCCTGGCCAACCTTCAGAACTGGAAAGGTTTCAGTTTTCTGTCTCCTTCCCCTATCTGCCCTCTGAGAATCTGCTGCCACTTGGAGAAATGTCTATAATATGAATAGTGAGTTTTTAAATTTTTTATTTTATGAGACAGAATCTTGCTCTGTCACCCAGGCTGGAGTGCAGTGACGCAATCTTGGCTCACTGCAACCTCCGACTCCCGGGTTCAAGTGATTCTCCTGCCTCAGCCTCCCGAGCAGCTGGGATTACAGGCATGCACCACCATGCCTGGCTAATTTTTGTATTTTTAGTAGAGACAGGGTTTCCCCATGTTGGCCAGGCAGGTCTCAAACTTCTGGCCTCAAGTGAACCACCCTGCTCGGCCTCCCAAAGTGCTGGGATTACAGGCATGAGCCAACGTGACTGCCAGGCCAACTTTTGAGAAGATAAAGGCGGGCCCTGCGTCTGGCTAAGCCCACAGTCCAGGGGGCAAATGGGGATGGAGTGCTTACAGCACAATACAATGGAAAAACCAAAGGTTTGAATCCTGGTTCAGCAACTTTGGGAAGGTACTTCACCTTTCTGAGCTTAAATTTACTCACTTGTAAAATGAAAATGACAGAAAGCTATCTTTTGTGGAGGTGCTGGGAGGATCAGCAAAAGTGTTCCAAGATGCCACACACGCGTGGGCACCGAGAACACAAACACGATTCCGCCAGCTTGGAGCTTTGGACCAGTAACTGAAGATGGAAGCGCAATTACAATAGAGCGTGGTAAGTGCTAATGCAGGGAAACAGAACGGTGCCTGGAGATGGGTGCCATTACAATTATTTAAATCTTGTCTATTTGTCTATAGCCAAACAGCATTTGAGATAGCGTTATTGTTTTCATCCACTGATACTCTGTGATTTTTTTTTTTAATTCTCTGCCTTTCATCCCATTAGGTTATGTTTCCATTCAAGCAAATGCCAGGTTGAAAGGAGGGACGGAGGAAGGAAAGAACATATTCCAGGATACACTGGTAAATTGTCTTCTCTTCCCCAAGAAAGAGTAGCTTCTGACCCTTGGAATTTCTCTAAAGTAATGTTTTCAGGTAGGGAAGGGCCGACCAGACAACTGATTTTTGTTTTCAGTTCAACGAGTGATTTTGTTAAGCTCCTATGGTTGAGAACAGTTTTCTACACCCAGCGGCTGCCTGTTGGGTTTCTCAACGCCAAATTCCTGCTTCCAAGTGTCATAAGGTATGTATTTATCCTTATGTCTTAAAAATAGGCATATTTTTAAGAATTTAGGGATAACTGAAGGAAACCTCTAGAGATAACTAAGAAAACCTTGGGTGCCACAAATCCCAGAGCCTGGAAAACCACCTACCTGAAGAAACCACTTATGAGCCACTCTACTTCTTTGTGGGTCCTTAGATACTTTTCGTTAGCAATCCGAATCTGGATCTGGGGGGCAAGAGCAAAGGGTCACCTCCATGAGGGGACAGATTCAGGGTTCAGCCCTGGAGATGTGACAGGGCTGCGGGAAACAGGTGCGCATTTAACCCAGGTCTTTCCCCAGGATGCTTGAAAGTTTAAGCCACCCATCTTCTTACAGATAAAACATCATTCTGCCGCCTGATGTTCAGGCTGAGGGGTCTTAACTATGGTCGGCTGTGTCTGGCGGTAATTTCGGCGCATTTCAAAGGCCAAGTCCCTGAGGTCGTTCTTCCTGCACTCCAGATGCCCGTCGGGCTCTGCGCTGGGCCCAGAAGCCCAGAGGTCCGCCCGAGGTCTCCCCTGTGCCCTCCCCACTTTATAACAAGCTCCCGCTCCCCTTCTCTCGGCGGCCCTCTTCTCAGTCTGGGGCCCCCGTCCTGGGGGAGCTGCACTTTGGTGGACGCCGGGTGGGGGCGCTGGCGCACCCACCTTGAATTTTCTCAGCTGCTCCAGCTGAGCCGGGCTAAGCACCCAGGGGTCGGGCAGCGGCTGCGCGTCCGGGGGCGTCGCCATCTTGCTGCGGTCGTCAAGGCGACGGGCCGCGGACTGGCGAGGCCCCGCCCCAGGCCCCGCCCTTCCCCCAAGCCCGGCCCCTTTAGCGAAGCGGGGGCGAGGGGCTCGGGGAGCTGGGGGAAAGGGAGGGTCCTTAAAGGATCGCCTTTTCCGGATTGGAGGACTGATTCATGGACTTAATTGTGTGTGGAATGAGCCCTTCTTGACCCCACCCAACCTCAGTTCTTTTTCTTAGCTCTATAGTAAAACAGGAAAAAAAGGTCTCCCAGAATCTAGTTCCAGACACCCTCACCTGGACAGAAGCTAGAGGAAGCCTAGTACTGGGGAAAGAGAACCCAGGCTTCTTCTCTTTCCACTGGCCCAGAAGTCAACCCGTCCCTCTGTCCTGTAGACATTCGACATTGGAGCCGTGGATTCTTCAAACAGCGTGGAAGCACCCCAGAACAGAGAGTGGGCTGAGTTCTGCAAAGGAAGGAACGTTCTCTCCCGCTGAAGATGCTGGAGAGGACCTGGGGGACATTCTGCCAGAATTTCCCCTCTTGGACTGACTTTTTTGTGTAGATTAACTTTCTCTTCACCCTGGGCTCCTCACAAATTCTAAATTATTTTCTTCCACTCCCAACTGAATACGGGAGAAGAAAGGGAATTTGATCTTCAAGATTTGTTCTTCTAGTATCTAATTAAGAAGAGAAAGTGAAACATAAAGCCAGAGAGCTGAAAATAGCCACGAGAAAGGGCGTGAGCCTGTCTGTCAATACACACATGCCGAGCTCCCACCCCGCAGAGATCGTGCTCAGCAGAGGCCTTCGGAGATGCAGGAGAAGAGGGAGGCTGTTTTTTCACATTTGTGAATAACTGCCCCAAGGAGCAAGAAAATAGCACTAGAAACAAGCTCAGCATTCCTCCCCGGCCGTGGTGGGGTTGTCATTGGTCTGCCTCTGTCCTTTCCAGCAAAGACTGAGGAAAAGAAATGAAAGTGTTGGCAGTTCCCAAGCCAGGGAAAACCACAAGAAGTAAATTAGGTAGTGGGCTACAAGCCTCTTCCCAGGAACCCCATCTTGGTTAGAGATCATTCTGGTTGTTTGTCTTTTTTTAGGAGAGAGAGTTAATAGAGTGAGAGAGAGATAAGCTGCCATCTGTCAGAAGTGATTTTTTTTTTTTTTTTTTTTTTTTTTCCAGCGGGAGCAAGAGGTTAACCAGTGATAATGGTTCCTGTTGGCCAAGATCTGTCTCTTCTCCCCACACTCCCTCCAGAGAAGCTAGTGGTGGTGGCCCACCAGAGCTGTGCTAGCCAGTACAGTCACCTCGAGCCACCTGTGGCTTTGGAACACTTGAAATGTGGCTGTAGGTGTTAAATGTGCGGCAAATGTAAAATACATACTGGATTTTGAAAGCTTAGTATAAAAAAACTCATCAATAACATGTAATTGATTTATATGTTGAAACAGTATTTTGGATACATCAGGTTAAAAAACATTTATTATTAAAAGTAATTTCACTTCTTTCTTTTTGCTTTTTTAATATAGCTACTAGAAATTTTTTAACCATATATGTGACTTGTATTATATTAGATAATGCCAGAGCCTGGACCAGCAGACTTACACACACAAACACACACAGCCATGCACAGTGTTCTCTACCTCTCCACCTCCAAGTATAAAATGATTACTATCCTCCCTCTGTAAATCTATGATCTTCTTGTGCTTTGAAAATCAATCAAGACTTTCTTCACTGATCACATCCTATAGCCCAAATACCCATATATAAGAGGGGCTACTTTATTTATTTATTTTTGAGATGGAGTCTCACTCTGTTGCCCAGTCTGGAGTGCAGTGGCACAATCTCAGCTCACTACAACCTCTGCCTCCCAGGTTCAAGCTATCCTCCTGCCTCAGCCCCCCTAGTAGCTGTGATTACAGGCACGCTCCACCATGCCCAGCTAATTTTTGTATTTTTAAAGTAGGGACAGGGTTCGCCATGTTGGCCAGGCTGGTCTTGAACTCCTGACCTCAGGTGATCCACCCACCTCAGCCTGCCGAAGTTCTGGGATTCCAGGCATGAGCCACCGCGCCCGGCCACTTTTAATTTTTTTAACAGCGTCTCAGTACTCACTATTATGTACTGTGTTGGCCTGTTTTATTTTCTACTTGAGGTGGAAGCCCCTTGAGGGCAGAAAGGTCATAGAATCAATTCTTTGTGCACTCTCATCAATTCTGCTGCAGATGTCTTCACTCTGTATTCAGTCAGTGAAGCCAGTTATTTGATGCCCACGCATACCGCCACTTTTTGCCCTTTCTGAAAAATATCCCAATCATCTGGCATTTCTCATTTCCTAAGAATCTAAAACCAGGATCAGAGCTCTACCTTTATAAATTCAATAATCTTTGTATGTAGGGCAACCTAGCTTTGACTGCAGAGGAATAAAAAAGAGGGTGAGCTTGCAGGTGGTGGGCAGAGAAAGTAACTTGGAAGCCTCTCTCCCTCCCATACAGAAACTCCCCAGAATAGGCATCTGAGTCTCAGGGTTCCCCTGTCTTTACCTCACAGGACTCCCATCCCATGACCTGAAAGAACACCAGAGATGTGTTCACAGTCACTCAGCAAGGAGGGTCTGATGAGAGGTCCTACTCTTCTCCCCTAAACCCTGCCTCTTCTCTCAGACTGACACCTTCAATCTAGGGACCACAAACTAAGAAAAGGACTAGAGGCATTTTGCTGCCTGCAGCTGTCTCCCCAATTACTGACTGGGAGGAAGAGTGAGGGGAGTTCACTTTAATTCATTTTTGTGAATGTTTAATATTTCAATTAATATGATTAGCCCCAAGCTTGAATGAGCAGCAGGGCGGCAGATCTGCTGAGAAGACATAGAGTAATGAGATCAACAGGGCCATAGGGTCTTCCCCTTCTCCATCCTCAGAGGGCATGATCTGTTTAGCATCTCCATAAATACCAAGATCAGATTAGAAGGCAAGGCAAGGAGCAGTGGGGGTGGGGTAGGTGAGTGGAAAGTTACTTTCAGGATGTGTTTGCCCTTCGTGATTCCCTGGCTCTGCCACCACTTGTGTCTTCTGAGCACCCACCACTGAGTCCTCTAGCACCTACCCCGACTGCTACCCCATTTTAGGGGACCCTGCAGGGGGGGACCTGAGCATCCATGTGAGGAACTGTAATCAAGTCTGCACCCATACACATTCCCTCAAATGCAAGCACCTGTGAGAATGTGGCTCCAGGCCACAACAAAAAACCAGGCCAAGGAAGGATGAGAGGTGACAACAGAATGAAGCCAAAAAAAGAAGGGCTCTCTCTCATCCAGGGCTTAAATGGAGACAGAAGATGAAAAAAGGCCAGACTTTACCACTGCCCCCATTCTTAAGAGGAATGTTTGATGTGGGAGTTAAATGCGTGGACTCAGGAGCCAGACTGCCAGGGCTCCAATCTCAGCTAGACCTCTTTCTAGCTACATGGCTTTTGGCAAGTTATTTCAGCTCTATGTCTTGGTTACCTCTTCTCTATTTGGAGATAATGACAAAATCTACATCATAGGGGGGTGGTGAGGGTTTAGGAGTTAGTAAATATAAAGCACTTGGCACAAAGCCTGGGACACTGTAAGAGCCATGTAAGCACTGGCTGTTACTATTATTTCTCCTCCAGAAGAGAAGACGGCCTGCCGTGCTAGCTCAGGAATGGGGGCTCCTGGGATTCGGCCGGGACACAGTTCAGAGACACGAGTGCCTCTGTGGAAACAGCAGCCCCAGCCCGGGTAAAGAAGGGAATGACAGGAAGGCAGGGTGCTGTACAAAAGCCTAGAGCCCCAGGAGACACCCCCCCCCGCCCCCCCGTTGCTGAGCACTGACGAAAGCAAGGGCTGGCACCACTGACAAGGTTTGATGTCTGCAGATAATCCCTGCACTGAGGGCATGCTCTGAGTGGGCCCAGTGCATGGAGGGGTCAAGCTCCCTCCGGATCCTGGAACCTGCCAATCATAGAAGTATCCATGTTCAGGGGAGCAATGGTCCCCGAATGTGCCTCCCCTGCTCCTCTGTGCTACCTGACTCAGTTTGAGTCCCACCCAAGGAACCCCACTGAAGAAAGAAGCAAAGGAAAGAGTAATTGGGTTTCTGCATCCTAAGGGGGGGAGCTTGACAGCTGTGGTTCTTCCCACTGAAGGAATCAGGAATCCACTGTGTCAAGTGGTTTTTTGCATGAAGTGTTTGTTAAGCGCCTGCTACGCATGAGCAAGACAGGGTGCTAGACACTGTGAACAGTAAGATGCTGAATTAAACGGTGTCCTGGTCTTCAAGGAGCATACAAGTGAGAGCGCCTGCCGTGCCGCCTCCACGGCCTTCCTGCCCACGCACTTATACACACAAACCCCCCAGAGGGAGAGAAGGGGGAGTCGGCAAATGCCAGAAAGCTATCGTTTTTCTTGATTTCTTTTCTGGAAAATGTACAGCTCTCTTTCTGCATTCGTGTCATCCTGCTCTCCCCTTCCCCACCTTACTTTCCATTTTTCCTCTCTACATTTTTTTCTTTTTCCCCCAGACTGTGCGACCTGCTTCCCTCTCCATCTACACCTCCTTCCCCTTCAGTCTGCCCAACCGTCCTATCCCATTTTCTTTCCCCTCACTTCTTTCCTTGACTCTCTACTCTCAGGGCTCCCCAGATGCCGGGCTCCCCTCTTTCCCCCAACCCCCATCTCCTGAGTCTTCCAGCACCGGGGACAGCTCCAGCCCCCGGAACAATGGACCCCACTTTAGGGTTCCTCTATAAATTCTCCATCTTAGTGCTTTGCCCAACTCCTGACTGGGGAGTAAGATGGGGGAAGGGTTATTATCAACAGGACAAGCTGCTCTTCTGGGGGCGGGAAGGGAGTCAGGAAGGATGGCGATAGAGAGAGGGCGTGGCTCTTGCCTGGATTGTGCGTCCCTCTCTAGGGTAGAGAATTTGTATTCGACCCCTGAGACTGACATCACTGATGTCAGGGGAAAGGAGGTGGGAGTGGGGAGGGGGGTGTGGAGGGGGGAGGTTTTTGTTGAGGAGAGCGCGGCCGGAGAGCAGAGCTCCGGGACCCAGGTGACCGGGAAAGCAGGCAGCCCCAGCGGCGGGAGCAGCCGGCAGCAGCCCAGGCCCGGGGCCCGGGGACCGGGGTGGGGGTGGGAGGGGGGCTGAGGGGAGGACCTGAAGGGGGGCAGCAGGGCAAAAGGGACCCCTGGAGCCCTGCCGCCATCAGAGATCAAGCATCTGGCATCAGGGATCTTCGGACCCAGCAGAAGGATCCGCCACAGGGGAGGTGTCCTCCCCAGGGAAGCCAACGAGAGATTCACCTGCTCCACATCAGGAGTGGGCCCCCGTCACTGACGCTGCTGGCAACCATAGCAGGCCCCTTAACCCCTCAGTCTCCTCCCCATCACCCTCCTCAGGCCCTTTCCCCACCTTCAGCTCCCATCTCAACTCCCAGTTCCCAGCTCTGTAAGCCCCAGCGCCCAGGCTACCACCTCACGCTCCAGGTCTTGGCCACACTCACCCCCATCCTGGGACATTTGCCAGATCTCTGGGAGGGAGATCGTTTGTTTGGGCTATGCCCCCTGGTGGCATGACAGCATCTGCCTAGACCCCTGACCCCTAGCCCTCAACTCCCTGGGCCTCCTTTGTGTGAAGAGCCGCCCCTCTGCTCAGCAGCGTGGTTGGGGGCCAAAGGGAAAGCCAGCCCTGGCTGGGGCCCCGGCCCCCACTACTTGTCTCCTTGCTGGGCAGCTCCCCTTGGCCTTTGGGCCTCTCCCTGATCCCCTCGGCCCCTCCTCCTGGGCCGCCTCAATGAAGGAGCCGGATGCCATCAAGCTGTTTGTGGGGCAGATCCCGAGGCATCTGGAGGAGAAGGACCTGAAGCCCATCTTCGAACAGTTTGGTCGGATCTTCGAGCTGACTGTCATCAAGGACAAGTACACCGGGCTGCACAAGGGTGAGGGTCAGGCAGGCTGAGAGGCTGGGGTGGGCCGGGAGGCTAGGGGTGGGGAAAAGCAGGCTGGAGGGGTGGAGTGGCTGGGAAGGGCTGACGTGGAAAGAGAAGAGTTCAAGGCTGGAGAAAGTGGATGGAGGAGCTGAAAAAGAACTCAGCTAGAGTGATCAGGAAACCCGGGTGAAGGACTAAGGAGGGCCTCTTTTGGGTGAAGAGTTGTCAGGAGGGCTGCAAAGATGTGGATCCCAGACATGGTGGGGGGGTGTTGATGTCGTGTGGGATGAATTCAAGAAAGAATGGAGGGACAAGAGAGCTGGTTTGGGAGATAAGGAGCTGGGCAGGGGTGTGTGTGTCTGTGTGTGTGTGTGTGTGCGCGCAGCAAGACTGAGAATCTGAGCAACCTGGATAATATTGGGATGGGGGGTCAAGACCCAGGGTCAGGTGCTCAATGTGGGAAGCATGGAGCTGGACTGGGCAAGGCAGCTCCAGCAGTAAAGAGAGGGACTAGAAAGCGCAGCATGAAGGCTGGAGATTGCTAACGATCTGGAAAGTGTGGGAGGCTTCGGAAGTTAAGAGTGAGGAAGAAGGGAGGGTGTTCCTCAGGCCTACCTGAGGGCCCAGGGCCGGGCTGTGCAGCTAAGAAGCAGGGGGTTGAGGGGGGCGGTCGGTGTCAGCACTTGAAGATCTCCATGCACCACGGATCCCAGGGGCCACTCTAGCTCCCCCTCCACCTGGCACAGGGAAGAAGCAATCGTGTGGCTAACTGCTCTTCCCTTCCCTTCTCTATTTTACTCTCTACCCTCCACCTGCCTATGTGGGAGTGGGGGAGAGCTGAGGAAATGGGGAAAATGGGAGAAGAGAGGGATGATGGTGATCACGACGGAGGGAGGTGGAGGTGAGGGAGAGAGGGAAAGGAGAGCAGCTCGGCGGGAGAGAAAGCCACATTACTGGTACTTGTCTGGCGGTCACATGCCCCTTCTCCTCTCCCCACACAAAGCCCATCTCCCGACAGCCCAAGTGTCCTCCCTCTTCCATCACCACCCGTATTTAGGCCTCCGGTGTCTGCCTTACTTCTGGGGCAGAGTGTCTACCCCTTGGAGACACCTCCCCACCCCAGCAGGCAGAAGACGACAAGAACGGAAAGCTTCCCAGTCCTCGGTCTTTGGAAGGAAGCCTTTCAGAGAGGGGAGATGGAGGACTCACCCCCCCGCCATGTTTCTCTGCCCCTGCCCCTCCTCAGGATGTGCCTTCCTGACATACTGTGCCCGGGATTCAGCCCTGAAGGCCCAGAGCGCCCTGCACGAACAGAAGACTCTTCCAGGGGTGAGTCCCATCCTTTGCAGGGCCGTGGGCTGGGAAGGGCCGTGGAAGTGGCAGGAAGCTCACCACCCTCCCAAGACACTGAATGCATTTTCTGCCTCCTCATCACCAGGAAGTCCTCCTCTCTCTCTAGCATCCGTCTTTCTTGCTGTAGACACATGCATTTCTTGTTACCCGAAGAGAAGGAAAGCAGCGATTAATGGAGTAAATGTGACTTTTGCCAGGAGCAGATGCAGCCCCTTCCCCAGTTCCCCCCCTGTCCATGAGGCTACACTAGAGGGAGGACTTGCTGGTTGGAAGGTGTGGGGAAAAGTCTCTGGACACCAAGTGTGGATCAGGGTGAGCAGAAGGCACCCAGGCACTTTTTTGTCACTCTGGAAAGGCAGCCTGGGTGGCTGTGAGATTAGGGAGGAGTGCCTGCGACTTGAGAACAGGCAGCTGGTGCTGGCTAGATTGGCATCTTGGTGCTGGTTCTTGAGCTCGGACAGGCTCCCTTCTGTCACCCAGGAAGAACCCCAGGAACAGAGCCACAGAGCATCAGGGCAGGGCAGGGCCTGAGCAGGTCTGGGCTGGAGGTAGGCCTGGGAGTAGCAGGCAAGGGCAAGGACAGACATTGTAAAGGATCAGGACTGATGCCATCAAGTATGCCCAGGGAGACAGGGGTGGCCTCGGAGGTGGCCTGTCTCCTGCAAGATCCTATCTCTTTGTGTCTTCTTCCCAGCCAGCCTTGCTGACTGTCCCAAGCCTGGGCTGGCAACTGAGGGCGGGAAGAAAACCTTGGACTGTCCCCATCCCCCAGTCACGGAAGCTGGAGGGAAAGGATGTCCCCATTCCCTTTGCTATCTGTCTGCTATGCTTTCTCCCAGACTGTGAATCCCAGCAAGTGCCTTCCTGAGACCTAACTCCGTCCCCACCTTCAGTAAACATTTGCTTAGCAGCGTCTGGGTCCCAGAGACACATCTGTCCTGGCCTTTACTCCTTCTCCCACATGGGAAGTGGAGAATGCTGCTGCTTACCCATCTCTTTCTAAGAGGGAAATAGACAAAACAGATGGGCAAAGGGTGGGTGGGGACCTGGGAAAATTAGAACCGCTGCAACCAACCCCAACTTCAAAATCCACCCCCTGGCCCTTCTGTGGCCTCAAACCTTTGAGTACTGCTAGGAAAGCAAAGCCAACAGCAGCAAATCCACCAACACCTCCACTCCCAACGGTCTTATCCCAGCTGCTGGCAAGAATAGCCATTGCCTGCCACAGCCAGGGTTAAGGGCCTGTGCACGTGTGTGAGCAGGCTACAGGATCCAAGGCGAGCGTGTGTTTGTGCGCACAGGCACGTGAGCTCCTGACAGGCCAGATGTGTGGGGTGAGGGCACATGCATCCCTGGGAAGACTGGTCCCCATCCAGTCCCAACTTGCCTTCCCTGCTTTTCTCTGTGGAGGCCCCTCACAAACCAACAGTTTTCATCTCCATCCTGTTTGTCTTTTTCTGTTGTCTCCCTGCCTTGGAGCCCCTGCAGAAATGAGAGGGGGTCAGAGGAAAAGGTAGAGAGGATGGGAGTGGGGACATGGATGAGAGACAGCCTGGGAATGGGCATGAGCCCCAAGGGCCATGTGTACCACCTGCGGGCGTCTACCTTGGGTCTGTGCCCTGGCGGCTCAGGCAGAGCTCCATCCTGGGTGTGGAGAGCCGAGGCCCGCTCTTCTTGAGGAAGTCCAACCCAGGGTGGGGGTGAGGAAGAAGGGCACCCCAGTTAATGATTGTCTAGCCCTTGTCCAGAGTTCCCAGGTGACACTGAATTCTCCACTTTGGCCCTTGCCCCAGGGGACAGAATCCAGAGGGACCTAAGAGAGCTTCCAGTAGGAAATATGAGGGTTCCATCCTCCAAGAGGGACCCCCATGCAAGGGGTTTGAAGGAGCAGACCCAGGGCAGCTGTAGGGACGTCTGTGACCCTTTGTCTCCCCTAGGTTGTCTCCTGCCACCTGCATTCCCCCCTCAGTGTGTGTATTTGCACGTGTGTGTGCGTGCGTGTGTGCACACACGTGTGCAGTGTGCGAGCTACTGCATAATTATGTTCTTCCTGTGTTTAATCTCCATGCCTTCCTACTGCATGTTTTTTTTTCATGGGAGACATTTAGCACCCTCTCCTTGCTCCCCATCTGTCACCCCAAAATCTAGAAGGCACCACAGTGCTAGGGTGATA